AAACGTGGAAGAGCAACTTGCTACGTAAATAACAAAGCGACTTTTTACCGACGGACGCGTTATTGTTCACGCTTTATCTGCAGTCTTGCTTTATTTACAGTCGTCATTGTTCGACTTGCGACTTCAATGACAACATTTTACCAATATCACAATTGTTTTATTTTCTTTAAGAGTTGAAGATCATAGATTATGGTTCGTCGGCATAAAATTATATATTTCTGACGCTTCGCTGATCTGCCGGAGCTGAGCTGAGATCGACTGAGCGGTCAAAGTTGTGCGTCATGAAGTCTTCCTTTAATCACAGAAGTTTGGCCTTCAGTTGTTTGTTTCAAATTTCGTAGGCTTTTGCTGTATGGCAAAAATTTGAAGTAGTAGATTGTGAAAATTTGAAATCGTGATAGTAGATTGTGATGTGATTTTATTACGGTTCTGCTGATTTTAGCTGTACTTTTATTAGTTCTGTCTCTAAATTTCATTACATTTCCGCTGATTTAAGCTGCTCTTTTTTTAGTACTGTTTCTAAATCATTTTTGGATTTGCCATAATTTACCCCGTTTACGACAAATTCACATAATGATCAAATCGAAAATCGGGTAAAGATGGCTATGGCAAGTCAGTAGGATATATTCCACCTTAAAGATAAATTTCACACGATTTACCCCGTTTTTCTAGAATTCGCTGATCAAATGGAAAAACCAGGTAAAGCGGATGGCATATAGAAACTTCAGTCCCGTTTTTCTAGAATTCATTTTAAAAAAATGGAAAATCGGGTTAAAGATTGGCTGTGGCAACTTAGGATCTATTTAATTCGGAGGACGCTTAGATTTTACCCCGTTTTTTGTCAAATTCACTGAAAAAAAAAATTGGAAATTCGGGATAAAGATAGCATGTGGGAACTTCAGGTATTATTCACCTGTAACATAAAGGCTCAGAATTTACTCCGTTTTTCTCGAATTCGCCGATCAAATGGGAAATCGGGGTAAAGATGGGATATGGGAGCTTAGAGTGATAGCCACGTGTGGATGAATTCGCAGAATTAATCCCGTTTCTCCAGAATTCATTGAAAAAAGAAATGGAAAATCGGGTTGAAGACTGGATATAGCAACTTGGTATCTATTTCATCAGGGAGGATGGATTCTTAGATTTTACCCCATTTTCTTAAAATTTGTTGAAAAAGAAGGAAAATCGGGGTAAAGATATCGTATGGGAACTTCGGGTATTATCCACTTGTAGCATGAATGCTCAGAATTTACCTCATTTTTCTATAAAAATTCACTGATTAAATGTAAAGTTGGGGTGACGATGGCATATGGGACCTGTGGGCCGAATTCTCAAACATACATATTATTATGACTTAGTTCGAAGGGCTTTATTCCACATAGATCAAAAGAAAGAAAATGGCATATGTCAGCCACTGATTTAAATGGAAAAGCACATATTATTAAGTGAAAAGTAATTTTGCTGCAAGTCTGTCCCCTTCTGGGCGAGCAAAGACAATGATTTGATGCATTGTAACCCAACTGTTTCTTGCTGGAGAGCATGGGAGAGAGCACCCTATCCTTTATAAAAGATACCGGATCTTCATCATAGTGTCAGCAGTTTGTGAGTTAACTTTCCAGGATATGTGATGTTTGACATCAACTATACGGCAGAGGTTGAATTTTTGCGTAGTCCCATACAATTACAATGAATACATGTCTTCAATGTAATAACCATCAATGTAGACACTATGAGATTGCTACATGTAACATGATAAAAAGTATAATGAGGCTAGAAGAAAATCACAAATTTTCGGTTTTTGAAACACCGAGATGTCTCGTTTTTTAATTATGTATCATCTAGTTTTGCATGTCCCAAGCAAAATAAAAAAAAAATCAGCCCTCGACACAGAAGGATTCAACGAATCCAGTTAGTAGTTACTCGGACGCTTTATCATGCAGCCACACGAAATCTACAGTATTAATTTTAACCCGACACTTAACGCGATCTTTGAAGAATGGTTGTAATATTTAAATTTAACAAAAATACTAGAATGATGTGCAACCGAAACCTTACCTTACCGTACTAGTTCCGACAGATAAGCACAACTTGACTTCGATCACCAACGTACTCCACGGGGCAACGTCAAATCCTCGTCTTCCTAATCTATCCAACGTATCAAAGAAAATTTCGCCAATAATTCGCACTTAAAAACGCAACCAGAATCTTAATCTTTCCCCCAATCCGAAGTGTCCCAAAGGACATCAAAGATAGCCCATGAAACACGGATATCCCGTGAAATTCTTCACCTTCGAGCGCGGAAATCTTAACGATTTTCTTACAATTTTGCTTTGCATCCCTCCCCTAGTTGGGAAGTGACAAGCAGAAGACACGTTCACAACGCCTTTTGATTGGAAGAACTAAAACCGCATTCTATTGGTTATTAGTTGTGACGACATAACTACAACGGAACACACAACTGCAACGCTACATGTGCTCTTCCCTGTCAAGCTCGTAGGGGCGTGGAAAGAAACATGAGCAAAGAAAAAATACATCTCTTTCTTTTTTGCTTGACTCATTTTAAGATTCTAGTTCAACTGAAAAGAATACGAAAGCCAACTGGCGGAAAAGGCGGAGAGCATGATACGAGAGAATGTTATCGAGTTTTCGATGACAAAAGAAGCCACATAAAAAAATAGTTTCTAATTTAATAGTTTATTAAGGCAATGTGATATGAATAGTAATGTACAGATTTCGTCAATTTTTATAATTTATACATTGATTTGTTTCTTTAGTTATTCATCTTTTTTCATTAATTTTGATCTATGTATGTTCTTTCAAGCGTCTGTGACTCCGGCTCCCCTTTGTAATCATTAATCACTAAACTAAACAATAAAACCTCCCGATATTCTACCGCATATGTTTGTGTTGGATCCCTATGTCAGAGAATGTAGGCTAAATCCCTAAAACACAATCACAACTACTAAAACACGCCGCTATATAAACTAATATGTCTGATGATTGGTTGAATGCACACATACGTGTTAAAGCATATTTATTACACGACTCGGGCAGTCAGAGGGCCAATAACTAAAATCAACCAATCAAAATGCTCAATTGCCGGTCTAATATTCTCTAAGTATTGGACCGGGCACTGTCCAGAATGGTCCCGAATGATACCACATGCACTTGTGTCCCTTTGAACTTCAGTCGTATAATAAATCTCTTATTAACCAAGCTTGCTCGGGACCTTACTGGAAGAATATCGGCCCTCGGTCTTTTTTGTACGGACCTCGCTGCGCTCAGTCCGTACTGTCAAGACCTCGGGCCGATATTCTCCCAGTACGGCCCTCGCGCTTGGTCAATAAGATATATATAATGAACTATGAAACTTTCATGTCAAAGTTGACATAGAAAAGAAATGTTGAAATGGTTTCCTCTGAAAAAAAAAACCTGATATATTCGATATTTTAGGGTAAAACTGTGTTAAGCGCGTCTAAATTACTCCCTTGAAGTTTTGTTGATATTTTCGTTGTTGTTGTTGTTGTTGTTGTTTTAAATTTACCGCCTGTAAAATCGCTATCTTTTTTTTATATGAAATCTTCTTATTTCATTCGCATACGTCGTTATTACTGTCCTTGTTGAAATGGAAGAGCTATATTTGCTCTTAGTGCGGCTACTGTACTCTGAACATTTCTGTTCTGTTATTGCTTATACCTTCTTCTTTCAGTCCTTCACTTTCTGGAATCAACCCTTGGAAACTTGAACCATCGGTAATTACTCGCAAATTCTTTATACGCCAATCTCTGCTAATAATATATTGTTACACATAGGATATCACGGTGTCGTCACTTTTTGTACTGTCAAGCCTGTTGTAGTGAGTTATTACTTGGTCATTTTTACCCCCTGATGCAGCCGGTGTGTCTGCTAATACTGTTACTATTTTTCTTGCCGATCTTTCTGCAACGGGGACCTTTAGAAACTGAAGGAGCCTTTTTTCCCAATAAGGTTGTTCATGATTTCTATCATAGTCGATTACGCTCCTATTTCGTAAAGTTCTAGGAAGCTTTCGTAAATCTGCGCCATCAATTCTTATGATAACCAGACTGTTGTCATTTTGGTCTAAAAGTCGTTGCTCTGCTTGTTCCAGCTCATACCAGCAGTGAGTACTGTTCAAAAAGTTATTTGAATAAACAGCTATGTTTTTGTAGCTTGTGTAGACGCTATTTGACATAGTATCATAAAAAACACCCCCAGGTTCAAAGTCTCTGTAATGAACTCGGCATTTAAACTGATGTTGGTTTTCAAGAAGGTCTAGTAGCTTGTTTTTCATCCATTCACAGTCCCTGTCGTTAAACATTATGAATACGTAGCTCTCAGATCCTGGACTAACCAACTCATTTCCTTCGGTTCGTGAACTACTCGACAACGTATTCTCAGACTCTGAAAATATGAGAAAAGAAGTCAGACCCATAATGCGTTACCGTAAGTCCCCTTATAAGCTCCCCGGGGGCTTATTTATTTCAGGTACTTTAAGGGGGTGACTTAATAGAGGGGGGAGAGCTTAAAATAGGGGGGCTTAATAGAGGGGGGGGCTTAATAAATTTCTTCCTTTAAAGAGGGGGGTTTATAAGTGGGGAGTGGCTTCTTAGAGAGGGGAGACTTAATAAAGAATTTACGGTAAATACGGCTTTAAAGCACTGTCTGCCACAGCGTGCATGGACTGGCTCACATTCCAGCAGTAACAAAAGTGTGTTTAACGAAAGAGGTGAAAGATTAGCCAAAATCCCGTTTTGAGGGGCCGACTTTTTTGCTATCCCAAGAAAAGAAGGGTTTTAATTGAACAGCCCAAGAGAAATACATCGAACACCACGAGTCTTTAATGACCATGTCTATACCAAAGAATTCACTGAATGAGACTGTGACCCGAAATGTTTTGTAAATTAGCTGCTATATTTTTGCAGCTTGTATTTAACTCTCCGACATGCTTCGATAAAAAATATAAGATTAAACGAACCTAAACACACCCATGTTCAGACTCTTTGTAGTAAATAAAAGTATAGCATTTCAATAGACGGTGTACAGTTTAAGATCACGAATACGTGATCTACAAATTCTTAGAAGCCAACTAAAATATAAGCATTTTAAATCAAACGAGACCATTCCTTGGCGAATGTTTGAAAGACAAAGACAAACCTGCTGAGGCAGGAACGCGTTCCCGGGGCCGCACCAACAACTTTCTGCGGAAAGCAATAACCAGTATTCCTATCAGGGCACCAACAGTGATGCCAGTGGAAATAAAGACATAATTGAAAGCTTTGTTGGAATCTGGATGAACAGAATGAAATCAAAATATAAGTAGTTGTAATCAAAGTTAGTACTTCATTCTTTCTAGATGTAAGAATTAATCTGAGCACTTGTGTGTGCCGCTACCCCTCCTCTGACCGAACTTTAACCCTAAGTTGTCATCAGTTGAATGTTGTTGGGTTGGGGGAGTGAGGGGTAAGTACGCAGTTGCGCACATGTTGACATTAATCCGAAGATTCATTACACCGCTTCAATCTTCAAGCGAGAAGGGTAAAGATGCATGAATCGCGAATGAAGGAGTGAGTGGGAAAAATATATGTAATTGATCATTTATATCCGAATACAAAAAGCTGTAAATGAAAGAAGCCTGTTTATGAATAAACCTTGAGTCGTCATATTGGTATCCACTCTCATATCCGTGATTTTATTGCTTGCTACAGCAGTTCTTGTCGCCATTGCCGTTGTTCTCGTTGCTTTTTCTCGTGTCATTGTAGATGTTGATGGTGGGGATTTTGATGATGGTACTGTTGAAGAAGAGAATGAATCGCCGATTCAAATACTGGACATGAAAAAAATTCATCCATCCATGATATCAACTGATTATTGTAGAGAATTTCTAAAGCTGATGTCTGAAGCAAAGTGAGGGATACAAAAACACTAGTGAGAAAATCGGAAACAATTTTTTTTAAAAAGATAATTCCTTTCAAGGAAACATAGATTCATCTTTGTCCCTTACTAACACAAATCTTACCGCTCGTTGTTTTATCACTTATTATCGTAGTTCTTGTCGTTGTTGCCGTTGTTGTCGTTGTTGCCGTTGTTGTCGTTGGTGCCGTTGTTCTCGTTGCTTTTTCTGTCTTCATAGATATTGTTGGTGGTGATTTTGATGATGGTACTGTTGAAGAAATTATTGATATAAAACAAAAATACTGGACATGAGAAAAATTCATCCACCCATGATATAAATTGATAGTATCAGAGTTGAAAGCCTAATTTGGCCACCGTAGAGAGCTTCTTAGAGCTAAAGTTGACGTTTCGAGCAAATTAACTTGTTATGCCCGACATAGCAGCACAGTTTCTTTAGAAACTAACCTCCTACACCCACTCATAAGTTCTTTTTGTTAAAAAAAAATAAGTTCAATTAATCTAAACCAAACATTATTACAAGTTCCTCAAACCTTGATAGGGCAGTAAGGGACTTCATGATTCACAATGACACAGAGCATCAAAAAGGAGGATAGAAAAAAATTTCCACGCTTTTTTGTCCGCGCTGATGAATATTAGTAAATGCTATTCACCTCCACTTTGGTGAATAATTGTTGACTAATTAAATCATTCTTGTAGCTAATTTGAACTCACCAAAACTATCCATTCCGATGGCACCTTTATAATTATGTGGGATGCTGAGGATCTTCAAAAAAGAGAAAATGAAATCATTGATTGCAGAAATAAATGTCAAACAAAGTTCTCAATCGTTGCTGTGATGGGTGACCCTCTAAAAGCATGAGATGAAATTAATCGCTAAAAATGAAATCCTCGCTGGCCTTAGAGCTTTGAGTGTCCCATCAACAATACAGGACTAAGAGCAAAGAAAAACTCACCGCTATTTCTATAGGATTCGGGTATTTATAGCCATACTGCGAGATGTTTATCCTTAGGGAAGTTTGATTCTGAAAAAAAAAATGTTTGCGGAAAATTGTTCATTTTAAAGGTTATGTTCGCTTTGACTTGCAACGCTTTTCAGTCATTCTGCACTGGTGCTGCACATAATCAAATGTTTGCAAAGGTGAGTGAAATTTTGTCCTATTTTGGATGGTAAAAGATTTATGACTGATTGTCTATCACCATCATTTTACGTATGCCTTAACGGACTGTTGTAGAACAAGGCTGAAAGCTCAGTTTTAAAGTCAGCTGTGGGAGAACTAACAAAAGATCTTAGTGATCTCACCTTTGGAAGTACAGTGCAAAGTATGTCTGGCTGAGAATCAACTGATAAGCGAATTAGGTGTTCCTTCAAGTATTTATAAGGATCTAGGGCGAAGAAAGGCAAACAAGTATTCAGACTGTCGTAGAATAAAAGATAAGCACAAATTTGCGGAGACGCAATACATCTGAAAGAGCTTCATCCGTTCACCTTTACATGAACTTCACATCCCCATGCTTTTGAAACATTTTCTCGGTCGCTGCACAGACTGAAAAAAGGGAAAACATGCTAAAACCCTAAAGGATTTTGGAGCAGTCTGCACCTCTCATAATAATTAGGTTTGTTATATACCTAGACTTTCACTCACTGAAAAAACGAGCACTGTGGTTGGTTGATTCTTGGTCACGTACCTCTAAGCAAATTCAAATGTATCCCGACCGGGATAAAATTGCGCAGTTGTTGCCCGCGCGCCGAATACATACAAAAGCATGTTTTTGCCATACGAATGTTAAGGGAAAGTCTAAATATATATCAAAGCTCTTAATGTATGGTCCTTCGGGAAACTAGTAAGTTTTGGAGTCCCTCGGGACAATACGTTAAGTGTAGTTTGTTTCGAGCATTTGAGTCACACCAGAGCATTGTAAACTCATTTTGTTCAGTGGCTTGCGCTGAAGTGCTCGGTAAAGAAATACGAGGATTAATCAGTGGATTTTATTGTACCTACGATTCTGGTTGTAATTAAAAGCCAAACATAGAAGAACTTAAGTACCGTTAAGCGGATTCCATGATACATCTGCAAACCAGTTCTCCGTGTTTTCGTATCGTCCAAAGGATACAGTTATATTTGGCAAGGAGACAAACTGCTCTTTGGGCACTGTTGCGTCATTCACTCGGCCAGGGCAATCTAATGCAAAAGGGTTACGATCGTGTCACTGCTCTGCTCAATCAGATATATTCAATTTAAAGGTGAAAAGTTTAAATTATCCCAGAACTTACTATTCGAAAAAGTTGATCTTTTTCGGCGCTGAACTGTCTTTTTCACAAAGATGTGCTTGGCTGTCAATAAAAATATTATAATATTAACTTTACTACTTATATAGCGCAAAATAAATGTGAATATGATCTCATACGCCGTCAAAAAAGATAGAAAAAACTTTTCATTTGTTTCACCAAGCGATTATATCATCCATATCAAACATGTCAAATGTTGTATTATGATTTGTAATTTTCAAAAGAGTTTTACGTTTTGTTCCGTTCAAACATCAAGAGTCAGTAAAACGTTTTAGTTTAGGGGGAATTAAAGGCGAAAAGTTTGTATCGTCATAAGGAAAGATGAAAATGAAAACACTTTTTAATATTCTCACTTTAAACAGTTTTCAAAAATTTCCGAAGCAAGCTTTGGAAAAAAAAAAATCCTCCACAATTTTCTCATTTTCTAAAGTAATAAGTGCATATGGTCTTGCCGTATACTGTTCGTTATTTTCCTACCGACTAAAGTTAAAATAATTACGTCTCTCTATTCACCAGCCTACGATCACAACCGTATATTAATTTTATATAATTTTTGTACACTTCGTTAAATGATTGAAAACTTATTATTAGAACCAAGAGCGATTTTGAATCATTGCTTCTGTATATTTCTGAACCCATGGACACAAAAATAGGTATTTTTGTGGATGGAAATCACAGTTCCTTCAATTTTCATTTTCTTGTGTTATTTTTTTTAGTAGTGGTTGCAGCTTATGTACATGCAAGACTAAAAAACTTTAATTCAGGAGCTTATTTTAAGTCTTAGGCCGTTTCCACAAAGTACCTGATCTCCTTCTAAGACACCAATAGCATTGGACGGAATTTAGAATCTGTATATGAAAAAGAAAGACAGTTAGAACAAGATCGATTCAAGACTTTGGCAAACCTTATTATTAGATAAGTCGTGGTTATTAGATAAGATAAGTCGTGGTATTATTAGATAAGATTATTAGATAAGATTAGATATTATTAGATAAGATAAGTCGTGGTATTAGGTAATTCTATTAATTCTCTTTCCAATTTAGGTTGTTTGAGAATCAAAATTACAGACATAAAGCGGAGTTTTTTTTTTGTCCCGGGTCTAAACATTCTCTTAATTACATCACTTCCTATTTTCAGGGAAACTTCCACTTCCGTCAAAATAGAAAATTGATTTTTGTAGATGCACAGATTATTATACTTAGTTTTTCTTATGAGTACCCTTTAAAGTCCTGTCAGGAAACCGCTGTACAGCCCATGTGAACCTTCCCTTTATCACCTACGTCTAGAGAAAAATGTATGCTGTGTTTCCGACACTCTACATACTACATATCTCAAAGGTGGAACTCATTTTAATCAACAGTAAAAAAAGACTGGTTCCTCAATGAGAATTTTACAGTTCTTTTGAAACACGTCGCTTAACTCAAGTAGTCTTCTTCATATTTATGCATCGCTTTTAAGTCCTTGAGTGAATAATTTACTGGTTACAAAACTGTATTAGTTAGTCACTTAGTCTGATAAATGAAACGATTAAAATGTTTGAAAGAAAGAAGTAAGCCATTAATTGATTTTCAATTGTTTTTTACTGTTAGTCGTGGAATTTTAAGTCATCTCTGTAGTGATTTATGTCCAAAGGGCACTAAAAAAAAAATTTCCATTTTAGTTGTGGGTAAACAAAAATTTCCAACATTTCTTCTAGATTGATCGTTTGATCAACGAAACACCGCTATTAATCACACAGGTGCTTTTTCAAAGAATCTAAACGTCATATGACATCTTTATGTAATGATCTATCATCCTTCATGACTTTAATTGTCAAAATAACTGCTTTTCACTCATAAGCCGCATGGTAGGCGATGAAAGAAACATTTGCAATATTTGCATGTTGTTGATTCACGCCTGTTTATCATGTCACGCAGCTCTCTCTGTTTGCATTCCCCGTCCCTTGTCGGTACTGGCCACAATAGTGGATCACAGTCTTAGAATCACCCTAAGGCAAAAATTAATTCTTTACAAGAGACGATGAAACAATAGAGCATAAGTTCATTCAAATGCTTTATAAACACCAACTGTGGTATCGATACTAACAGTCTGGCAAATAAACGTAAAGTCGTCGTCAAAGTGCTTGCCAAAGTCAATCATTGTCCAGGATGATTTGCACCGGAAGCTCTCAGCCTCCGGTCCAAACCTGATGCCACGGAGAATGCAATGTATGGGTCTTGACGATTGTTTTGATTGTCTTACGCCGTTCAAACGTGTTTTTGTTTTTCTTTCGAATGCTGATAATTCGACAGCGGATAGAAAACTCCAGAGACCCTGAACAAATTTCCAGTCTTAGCAGTTTAACACATTGGAAGTTTTCCAAGTTGATAGCTAAGATATTGATCTACGTATTGTAAGAAAAGATTGATCACAAGAAAGCTTTGCAAGCCCTACGTTTGCCTATTTGACTTTTACTTCAAAACTCGTGTCAGTGCAATGAAACAGAACTGACCCGTTTTATGACATCAATTAATTCTTACGACAAAAGTAAACTGAGGAGGGAGGAAAAAATAGAATATATTCCGGTAGACATCCTGTAATGCTATCGTGTATCAATTTGGTAACTCTTAATTAATTCGTAATAAGATGTTTAGTCAAAATATATACAAACAAAAGAGGAAAAATATGTTTTATATCAATAATTTTAATTATGTTTTCCATTGCAATTTACACCAACCAGCTAGCCCTCCTACTATTTTCACAAAGTTTTAAGCTCATTAAGCTCTGAAAAATTTGCCCCTTGTTTAAAAGAATACAAAATCAAATACCTTGCTCCCAGTTGGTCCTCGATTAAAAAAAAAAGCTACGAAGAGCACGAAGAAACGCGATTTTATCTCTGAGGTGAAACTTCATCCCACACACGAGCGAAATTGTAAATCAGAGCGAGAGGCTAGGAAATTCTCTTATCTAGATGCCTTGTCTCTGAGTACTCACTTTTATTCGATTTTCAGTTTACCTCGCCAGATTGCTAAGAATGTATTCACAATAATATTTCAAAGAAAAAGTATTCTCTCCTTATATGTGAAGCAAAACAAAATTTAAGTAAATATAGAATATATAAAGTTAGAACAGAGACTTGGCCAAAGAAGCAACAGTACAGCATGCTGCTGCAATGGTGTCTAGGCACCAAGTGGTAAAAAAAAAATTCCCCAAATTCTCCCAATAAATCTGACTTCACGGTTGACCTATTTGATTATGATCTCATGCACGCAAGTGATCTCAATCTTAATTAATTGCTCGCCATCATTCTATTATTTCCACATTTTATAAACCGTCCATATTACCTCAAAGTTAATTACATGGAGTGCGAGGTAGTTCTTTTTCTTTGAACACAACGTCCGACTATTTTAATTGAGATAAAACTGTGCAAAACTATTAGGGCTTATGTACAACATGCTGAGCTGATGTGAACGAAAAGCTGACCGATTATGGTCCACGCGAAGGCCCTATCCCTGTCTTTAATTATTTTTCTCTCTATAGACACACCACTCAATTACCCGCGAACATATTCCATGTTCCCTGTAAATTTAAATGACGTTTGCCACAACCTCTTGCCCAGTCATCTTTCAGCATGATCTTTATTTGCCAATTAAATGGATAATTATATAGCTGTTGTCTGCTGGAGCTGGAAGTTCTATTGTCAGCTTACAGATGAGTTGGCTATCGTGATTAAGAACTTTCGATCACATTCATACCTGAAGTCGCTTTGTGAGAGATACTTTTTTGTCCAGACCGCAAATGCGAAGACATCTTGTTTTCTCGGGCATCTTTGTTCCTAAAATGTCTATCGATGCTCCTGTAATAACCACAAGAACGACTGCTAAAACCCACATAGGAATTATTGCAGGCATGGTTTCTTGCGACTCTTTATAACCGTTTATTGACTTGTGACAGTTTCAGGAAAGGCTGCTCACGAGACGAAGAATTCCATCCTAACCATGAAAGCTACCGAAACAGAACAATAAATCGTGACTGAAATGCAAATTCAAAACATGTCATTTATGGACCGTTTTCCCTTTAGTTTTTATTTTGCATATCTTTTCACACCCGAGTAGTTCGGTCGCTTTCGATTCATCAGATCGATCTAGAAGACTCTTTTTTGATTTATGATAAATATTAATGAAATAGGGAGAATTTTTGAGTCCATATCATTTATCATACTGCTTGTTCTTTCATTACAGCTGCTACGATATAGGAGATTCAGAGTACATCTTGCCTGTTTCTTACTCTGAGTGACAAGAAATAGAAACCGGCTTCAGGAAAAGAAAGTCAATTTCTTGGATTCGCTACATGTTTATGCATGAAATATAGTCATTTTGAAAGGAGCACAGAGTATTTCTCTACCAATGAAAGCTGACAAACGAGGCAGGCTTGTTCGTGGTTTGAGTGTAGACTGTTAGACTTGAGTATAGACTGTAAGAACAATTTAAAGCAACAGATGTTTAATCTAGTGATTGAAATAATGACTAAGATTCGAGCTGAGGAAAGGCCATAAGCTGTTTTTCGAGGGGTATGAAGAAACAAGCCGCAAACAAGCAATGCTGTGAACTAGTAGTAAAAATGCAAAAACATCAGGAAACTCAAGCTAGGAAAACGCAGTAGATCGACAAACGATTTAAAGTTTTCCACTTTCTTATCGATCGCTAATGAAAACGATGCTTTCTCGATGGGAGTTCCGGGCCACACGAGTTCAAGGGGCGCAAGGCACGACGGTACCCCTTTCTCTCACCCCACTCTCTTCTCCCATTCATTCCCATGCAGTGCGCGTAATGAAGACAACTAGGGACGAGTCAGGTTTCCCCTAATTTGTTTCGACTTGTGTCTCAGGTGACTGCTTTAACTGCTTTTAGTCGAAACCAGACTAAAATAAAAGGCTCTTATCCTACGTATAACGTATGTTACGTTATGTACCTATAAAACCACGAACTACTGGAATTTGTTTTTTTTTAAGGTCATTTCCATAATTCATTTAAGAAACAAGTCTTTTTTTAAAAAAGCTATTTTTCTGTTGTTGCAGTTTGAATACTCAAATATATATTATTTCAACAAAGCTAGCAATATGTACAATATACAAAAATATATAACTCAGCACAAGAGATCATTTTCTCTTGATCAGCATATGAAACACGTATTATGGAACGAACTTGCTAAGGTCCGTTCCCTTTGTATATCAGTAAAGGTCCCTGTGTGCAATAAATATTTCTGTGGCGGTGCTGTTTGAATTGTCGTGACTTTCAAAAGCACTTCCTTTTTGAAATCCTCATAACTCCAGGAGCGTAATAGGTATTTCGGTATGTTTTTCGGAAAAGTTTTACCATAACTAAATTCCCCCTCCCCACCCACCTGCGACACTTAATGAATGAGATAAAGCAAACCTTTGAGGTACTATATCGACAGCAGCCGTTAGAAACGTCATAATACTAGACGAGCTTATCGTGTTGAGAGATCCCTTTGATCGCTGACATTACGAAAGCTTTTTTCTAGTACACTCTTACTTGTATACTTATAAACAAGAATATCTATAGCTCATTCTCAAACAGAGGCTACCTCTGTCTCTGAAATAACAGATACTTCGGTAGGGGTACTGATTGTTCTTTCGTAAGGAGTTCTTTTTGGCTTATTTTCTTGAATAGATTCGTTTGGAAAACTGTTATTGTTATCTTTGTCTTCTTCTTCACAGCAATCTTTATCAAGATCCTTGGGCGTGTCCAGGAACTTGAGTAGTCTCCTTTTCCAGAAAGGTCTTTCCAAGGGATTCGCATAATCAATAAAACTTCGTTTTTTTAAATCGCGAGGGAGCTTCTTACAATCCGTCTTGTCAATTCTTATTATGACCAGGCTGTCGTCTCTTTCTTTAAGAAGGCGATATTTGGCAAGTTCTAATTCGTGGGTGCAGTAATTGCTGAGAACGAAGTCTTTGGAAAACACTGAAATTACTTTGTAACTGTTGTAAACACTGTTTGCCATGTTTTCTTCGTAAGATATCCCGGGTATAAAATCTCTGTAATGGATACAGCATTTTAAACGACTTTCTTTTTCCAGGAAAGGAAGTAATTCTCTGGTCACCCAGCTCTCATTTTCCCTGCTATAGATGATGAACGCGTGGTATTTGAATTCTGCAAGAGATAAAATTGAAAATTTACGTACAACGAATATACCCTAAATACAAGCATAAGTGAGGGCTTCTGCATGTAGAATGATATAATTAACAAATATTCCACGAGCGCGCGTTGGATATGAGATGATAGATAGCCAACAAGGCGCGTATAATCGCGTATAATCATCTCATATCCAACAAGCGCGAGTGGAGTAATTGTTTTATTAAAAAAAAAAAAAACGCCCCCAAGATATTAGACAAATCTTCTCGACTTTATTTTGTGAGGAGAAACCGGATGTTACAATGTACAGATATTAGATTATGGTATATTGGCTGATATACCATAATGGCTAAGCCAATAAAAAGTCTCGAATTGCATTATCCAATGATCCAATTTTAATAATGCCGGTTACCATATACTAACGTACCAAAATACAACAGTGGAAAAATGTAATATTGTGCAGTCGTTCGTGTCTTAGTCAGTAAGTAGACACACGCACTAGAAGATGCACACTTCGATACGCTTTCGACTTTAAGGTTTGACCCTTTCACTTCCATACCTCACCAGGACAGAATTTCTCCTTACAATATCAATACAAGATCAGACGACAAGTGATCAAATAGGGGATTATTAAAAACTCAAGACAAAATAAGTGAGATAATAAAAACAAACCTGGCGGTAGTTTGTGGCTCATCTTCTTGCGTCTTATAATATAGATAAGGCAGCCAACTAACAGTAATCCAACGAGTAGGCCGACTACAGACACTGTCACAGTTATAGAGGTAGTGTGATCTAGGGAAACACAGAAAAATGCGTTTAGTTTACACTTATTACACGACTCGGGCAGTCACAGGGCCAATAACTAAATTCAACCAATCAAAATGCTCTATTGCCGGTCAATATTCTCTCATTATCACACGGAAGTTACGTAAGAGTTAACTATACAAACACCAAATCGAAAAAAAAGTGGTGCTCACCCGATCAGAAAACGAGCTCTGAATCTTGGAAAACGCGGCATTACGCAATTATTTCCTGACATTTTTTAACAAAAAATCATGAACGATCTCGTGTTGTAGAGTATATTCACCCTTCGTGAAAGAAACAAACAGGAATAACCTCCTCTGACAAAGGAACATCAGTGCCGGCGCGAATGCTGTGACCTACTTAGTGATCAACGACGAAAACCAATAGTATTTTGTGACCTTTCAGTGCAACTCACTCGATGTTCTCTCTTCGGCAGCAGAAACAGTCAGAGACCCTGCTTGGTCAAGCCTGACGGTACGTCAAAGTTTTAAACTTGATTACAGTCAGGATCGCAGACCAAAATCAAAAGAATCGCCGCAGACAACCAGAATAAAGATTAGCATCACCAAGAGCCCACGAGGAATCAGAGAGGCTACACTTAAATGGGCGCAAGGGCAAGAAAAAGCGAGGGATGGGGTCAATAAGCGTTTCAGTTTTGCATCTGGGCGATGAAAAGGGAGGCGTACGTTTTGCAGACAATCGAAAATTTTTTTTCTGGTCGCGTAAGATTTGTTAATTAAAAGAGAACTCTTTAGCTACAATGTATCAATGTTATGTTATAAAACAAATGGTAAACACCACAGCGTACACTATTGAGTTATGGATGCACGCGGGAGGTTGCTAAGCACGAAAGAAGCGTAAGAGTCGCTCGAGGCGATAGCCGAGAGCGACTCTAGCTTCTTGAGTGCTTAGCAAACCTCCCAAGTGCATCCATAACTCAATAGTGTACGCTGTGGTGTTTACCATTTGTTTTATAACATAACATTGATACATTGTAGCTAAAGAGTTCTCTTTTAATTAACAAATCTTACGCGACCTGAAAAAACAAGCGCGCGCGGAAAAATAGTCTTTGCATTTGCTCACGTCAGCAGCGTACACCCATGGGCAAATGGGGGACGCTAAATTGACCAATCAGAGCGCGCGCTTTATTTTGGTTATGTTATAAAACAAGATACTGGTTGACGATGTAAACCGATAGTAATTTGTTAACTGTCATTGAAACTTACCTGATGGTCCCGTATCTGTAGCAGGAGTGGGAACAGTTTGAGGCACTTCTACAAAAGAATGAAGAACTGGTGAGAAGGTCGAGCGAAACGTTATACTACGATTTTAAAACTTTATTTTGGCCAGGAGATGAACCTTAAAAAAATTCAACAACTGAATCACTTTTTTTATTTGCCAATGGCGTAACCTAAAGTAATGCTCAACTGAAATCTTAAGTTCTCTAACGTTGTTCTCAAGATAGAAACTTATCTTTTAACTAAAATATCGCGGCTTCAAGTCTAATCTAATCACACCCTCAATTCTTTCACCATCGAGAGAATTTCTTCCAATACAGCGCTTTGCACGCATTTGAGGATCGTAAACCAAAATCCAAAGAAATCGCTTAAACGTGGACAATTATAACAAACCATACTAAAGAACCAGACCGAAAAACAGTTCTAACATCGACTATCTGTGATTATTACTCACCTTCCACTGGTCCATAGGTGCCCAAATCTGCGCTATAATCCTTTGAAGAGAAAGGTCGGCCGATAATCTAAATAGAAAAGAAAACAAACCTCAGCGACTGCCCCAGTAACCAAAGGCCTCTTTGTGACTTCCTCTCGTCTCCTCTCTTTAGGTTGAATTTGTCTTTTTTCACGCGGGAAAATTCAGCACGGTTACCATGCCGAGATTTTACTGAGAGTCAACTTGCTGATGGGGAAATTTCAGATAAGCTACCGACACGAAAAAGTCTTAATTCCGACAGCCGGAACCTGTATTGAAATTTATGCTAGGATTATAAATCAGTTTAAATCACTACTTATATTTTAATTTATGCTAGGATTTTTCTACTGTTTTTGTAATTACTTTAATTGGACGGAAGTTAGATTTATCGCAGGTCCACATCGGCTTAATGCTGCCAGTAACTAACCTACGTTACCAAATAAACTATGTATGTATGTATGTATGTATGTATGTCTGTTTTTTTTTTTTATGTATGTCTGTATGTATGTATGTATGTATGTATGTATGTATCTCGAAAGTGGAGCATTCTAACTTATGATTACAGTGTAATTATCAAAAGGGTACTCACTCGTAAGTAAATAACATTAGGATATTGATAGCCATATGAAGAAATGTTAACTGTGGCAACGCTTTGATTCTAGAGACAAATTGACAGAGAATACATGAGTAATTAAACCAACAAACAAGAACTGATAAGTAGAGAATGGAGGAAAACGTTCGGAATCTTTAAGCCTGCATGCATTTCCGTTTCACGCGTTGTATTTATTTGCTAGCTAATTTCATTTTTTCCAGAACCACTCTGGAGCTGATATATTTTGATATAATTTTGCAAACCTTGGAAAAAGAGACTAAACAGGCTTTTTTTCATTTAAGCAATAGCTATGCGTTTTAAATCCTTACTTTTGGATACGTCAAACAATTCATATCTCCAACTCCGGCTGTCCCTGCATAAAATACGATTTGTACCGAAGTCCAGCTCTCATTTGCATCTGGAAAGCGAAAAGAAAAACTTATTTAAACAGACAGATTTTAGTTCACATGTAAAAACTTTACAGACAAAAATCTCAACTGATGCATAGCCCCTTGATAAGGGACCCCAAACGGACAACTTCCAAGTAATAATTGAATAGTACCTAATGCAACCACTATATTGATAAAATGGCTAATATAACTGGTTAAAATTTTTAAGTTACTTGGTACAATGAAATGTGGAATTTTCACATGCAGATTTCAGTATTCATTTTCTTTGAAAGTAGCATAAGTATATTGGCTGACTCTCCTTTATGCAAATCAAGGAATATTCATACAGATCTCCTAGGAGATAGGTTAAAGTTTGATTTGAAACTATACGGTCATCCTCGGAGACCCAAGGGCTGAGTCGATTTCAAGTTAGGGCATGAAGAGCCCCTGGGGACATTGTCTTACAAGACTAGTTCCAAACGGTCACAGTCGTTCTGCCATCTGATTGGTGCCAGAAAATCTTTGTGTTTTTCTGCCCAATCAGAGTGAAGTGTGCTTTAGAGTCCTTTCGTGTGTTTTAACACGGACAGATACTAGTAGCTCNAGAGAAATCCTAATTGGAAGTTGGCCCTCTGAAAAGACTTCCACTATGTCCATGGGCATGTCATCATGTCAATTCATCTCCTTGTAACATGTATTTATATTGTAGTTCCATTTATTAGTATTTTTACCTTTAGGTAGGTTATTCCTTAAGAAAACTGCTAAAAATTAATGATTTGAAATTTCTATGCTGCTTACTAGGATCAGTAGGGATAGCTTTCTTGAAGCGTTTTTGAAAGGTCCCTTTCCTGACTGGGGCTTGTTGGTGTGTAGCTGTTAAAAAGGACAAAAACTGAAAAAAATTAATAACAATAATCAATTGTTTAGCTAGCAGTGATGAATACTTCTTGTTTGTTGAAGTGACAATTGAGATCAAATGAAGCTAAAACAAGTTTAAGCTTTTTAACTTAATTTTTCCATTCACTTTTTCCTTGTGCCATGCAACATTTTTTACAACTTAAACAAACATTAACACATTGAGAGGCAACAAGAAACAAAGAAGGAACAGAAATGGTCAAGGACAGTAATAATCTAAATGGATTACAAATGAAAATTTGAAAAACCAAAAACACATTCACATCATATGACAAGCTCTTTCAACTGGAAGTTTGCACAACACTCCTTCCCAGTCCTCTTCCCACTTATTTCGTAGACTTCTTGTTCCTTTGCAAACCCACACCCCTCCCCCAAATATCCACTGTGGCAATAAAATGTACTCTGCTGCTTTAACTATACAATTAAAAACTTAAAAACATATAGAAATATGATCAGTTATTCACATTATCAGAAAACTGAATTACCTTTCTTTACCCCCAGACACTGCTGATAGCAGCTTGAGAAAAGTTTTGAGACCTAACAATCAGAAACAAACAAACAAAAGATTAGTAATTTTTCATAATTTTCATAAAAGGAACAATGTGCAATTCATGCTGAATAACTTTCTCACTCTGTTTGAGAAATAAACACCAGATTTAGAAAGTGCAATGCTTACTGTCATGGAATCCATAGCTGGCGATAGAAATACTTAGAAAATAAACATAATTACACATACGTTTATAATCAATTGTTATGTGCACTTCCAGGGCGACAGCATGAGTTTAACTGCTAATGCTAATGTTAGTGAAAGTAAGCGGTTAGAAAAGCGGGAAAAATCAAAGATGAAAACAGCAGTGCTGCTGTTTATTTTTGGAACTCCCTGACCGGGCACAATCCATTGTTTTTAAGCGTACAAACATTCTTTGTGAATAACTTAATGGGCAGTTTCGGATGGTTAGTCAAGTGAACATTGTTGGAATGCTACTGAATGTTGCGCACGATAGGGTTCCAAAAATAATTCAAACAACGCAACAAATAAATCGATTGGATCTACAAACGAATCGGGTTTACTAACTACCCGAGTCTCATTTAGTTCGAGTAATGCCGATGTAGTTGACTTGCATGACAAGCCACCACAAATGAAAGTAAACCGTGACTGTGTCACGTCATCCAACACAAGCTGTACGATCACGTACGCTCACACGCTTCGATGATGAAATCTTGATTTAGAACCAGTGTGGAGTACAAAACATTTACAGGCGCTAAGAATTTCAATTATAATTGGTAGATTTTTAATCAATCAGAACTGATAGGATGAAAAGCGTGAAATGCAAACAAATTCAATTTTTCTTCTGATCCCCAGAGGAATACTGACGCAACTTCTCATTTTTCTCTTTTCAGACAAGTTTTCTTCAAAATATCGCAGATTCACCACAACTCACAAAATTTGTTTCACGAACTAAAGGTCGAAACTTATTTTGAAAGGTACATCGTTTGTTCACGTCGTCAAACATATACTTCCTGTCTAAGCAAATTACTTTTCCGAGAAAAGTTTAGCTCAACTTATCAATCCTATTATGTCACGTCCTTGACACAAAAGGTAGGAAAAAACAACAAAACCTATTCATTTCGCACAGATTAATCTACTCTCTTCGATGATGGTTGACACCCAAAATTAAGAATTTCCTAAGCTGACAAGCTCTATTGTCTTCGATGTTTTCTATTTACTCTAGGTGCGAGTCGAGATGACGAGAATGCATTTTTGCCGTGCTTTCACGCCACCTAGCTATAACGATTAACTAACTACCGTGCGATTTCATCAATCGATACTTGTTGCTGGATTTTTTTCTTTTTTATTCAAGCATTTGTTCATTTTCCTTTTGTAAGATCTTCCTTTTTCTAGCTGGGCTTTCGAAACAAACTGACAGAAAATTAACGGCATTACAGACAGACCATACTGCAAAGGCTGATAAATTGTTTAAACATTGAGCTTTGCACGTGTGCATGGTAAAGAATAAAAACCTTTACGAATGATCGAGGAACAAACACGTTTTCAGTTTCTCATGATCGATAATTCTTGTCGGCATCCAGCTTTCCTGCAGACATGTCCTATTTCTGTGCTTGCCGGTACCTTCCACATGCAAATTTCTATCATTCAATAGAGCGGCTATCACGTACTCAAAGCGATCAAAACTGTATGGGGTAAAAAATTTGATTCGTCGACTTCCATAAAATCGATGCTTTTTCCTTCATCATTTTTGTTCGTTGAAATGGAATATTGGTGTTTTAATTTCGATCCCAAAAAATTTGAAGTGAGACATTCAGTTATGCGAAATTTTTGTAATTAATCATGCATATTCCATCCTACTTGCGTTGTTAGTTTTTCTACCAAACAGCAAGCGCACAAAATGAAATGATAATCATTTCTTGTAGTTATGAACATTGTGTAGAAGTTTCATCGTTGGATTGTAATATACGACGAGTTACACACGGAAAGCAAACTCAGACGACTGCTTCCGTTAAGTTGCATATTACTTCTGAAGAGAAGTTATGGTGTCACACCTCGAAACAACACAATTCAAATAAAATTCAACATACACATTTGCTCCTTAAATTAAGCTAAAGGCAGTTCAACTTATAATATGAGCGCCTTAAATGAGCAACTTTCATTCAAGTTTCGTCTAAAAGCTTGGTATAGTTAAGGTTTATGGATTACACGGACAATACATACCTTTCTTGTCAGGCGCTTCAGTTGTCGAGGACGGCATATTCTCACGCACTCGACTGAAACACTTTGTTGCGGTCTCGCGACGGAAACGACGATAACAAGTGTAAAAATCCAAAAAGCAACAATTTTGCTGAATCTGCTGGAGCTCCTTACAGCCATTAGTCCCAATGCAATATTTCTATGCTCCTGCAAATCCGTACGTGATACCACTTCTCTTTGTTTATCTACAGGAACCAGTGTACGCAAAAATAAATACTACGTATTGCTGACTATGCAGATTAAAGAGGGGGGGATGGGAAGGGTGGGAAGAAATCACGCGATGTTCATGGCGAAGGGAAGTAGTAGATTTCATCACATGCTTCCTCATAGGTAAACCAATCTTAGGTTGCAATAATCCCACGATACTGTCATGTGGTCTTTTTGCTCTCGTCTCTGAGCCTGTTATGGTGTCACGTGCTTTTGGCAATTGAACAACCCTCCACCCCTCCCACCCGGCTGGGTAATCTGAATAACACAGAAGTTACGATGAGTATGTCATGTAAAGAACTTCTTGCGTCCTACGATAACCAGTGCAGTTCTTTGTCATCTGTGCCCCTTTTTCTGATCACTCATTTATGGACACTAGTCATCCATGATTCTCGAGGGACTTTCATTGTGTTTCAAATTTTGGCTCATTTGTAAAAATATGAATTTAAACGGTGAACATTTCTTGAGGAGTAAATATGTACAAATTGACAACAAACAGCCCTTAAGAAAGTAGCTCTTATGACTGTGGAGGGTAAACGAGAGAGGGAAGCTGAATTGAAATTTAAAGGTCTCTAATTCATGTTAGGTACGGCGCAATATTTTTTCTTATGAAAAAATTACAAATAAAAAAAACAAACAAACAAAACGAAATGATACAAATCCCCGTCCTCCTACGATGAGTCCGGGTTGCCAGAATTTATTAGTTGCAGGAAATCCGATCAATGTTCGTTTTTAGGCAGACGTCTCGGAAAACATGTTTCTATTCAAGGGACTGTCTTAACGTAACTTAAGTGAAAACGACAAATTCCGAGGCATGAACCATTAGCTTCCCTCGCTCACGCACATTTTTCTCTAAGTTATACGAAATATGGTCAGGCCTCCGTTGAAAATGAGACTAGGGCTGGCCTTGTGATAAAGGAAAAGTAGCAACTCTGACTTTGTTTCGTTTTAAGACTTAACGTAAATCTGTATGTAATCCGGGGCTTTCAGAAAAATCACAGAGAATAGCCATTAGTTTCTTTGTTTGTTTTCATTTAATCCCCCTCAACAATTTCGAGACAAAACTTGGTTCTATCCTGGACGCCTCTGGCTTATGCGTGTTATGATAATTACAATCCACATTGACAACCCAAACGTATTTTCATTCTGTTATAAGAAGGTTTAATTAAACATGTTTCTAGAGACGGTTAAGTTGCTTAATATTTTACAGCATACGCACGGGTGGACTAGCCAGTACATTGTGGATTACGTCGCGTCTTCCGAGGGGGGGTAAGAAGGGGGATATTTTTTCGCTCAGGGATGCTCACTCTTTGTGTCATTATTCACATCCTTACGAACATCACTTTTTACCAAAAAGGGAATCCTCCGAAGCATTTACAATAAGATCACAGCATCATTTGGATACGTTCATAGATGCTGTAATGGCAGAATAAAAGACAAACGCGCTCAGCTTAAAAATAAAAATGCAATTTAAACTCGCATTGCTCTTTAGTAACATAAGATGACTAAATGATAGTTTTTTCTTTGGTTATATACATCAACAACCTATAGGCAAGGAGGTGGCGTCCCCGGGAAAGTGAAGTACTCTAACTCCCACGATTGTGTTCGTACTCCGTTCTAGTTGCGATGAAGAAAGAGGTTGAGCTTTATTCCTCTGGTGTTGCTATGCTTTCCTACTATGAGAGCTTGTTATTGCATCATGATACCATGCCTCCAGCTGATACATTGCATATTCTTTTCAGTTGTTTGCTTAAAAATGCACTGAACTCTGGGAAGAAGTTTCGAGTTGATCATTCTTGGGAGTAACAGTATTAGGTATAAATGATCGCTGTTTTTTTTTAGTATATACAAGAACCCGTGTCACACACACTTAATACAATGAGATGTTAATAAAAGTTAGACCGGATTTTCCTCGTTTAGAGTAACAATGGATAATTCTGTGGAAGTACTTATCGAACTGTCCAGTCTGAGAAATCTACTCTCCGTCCGTCTATGAGGTCCTTCGGTGGTGACTCCAGGAGTAAAGGCATTACTATCAGGGTCCGCCTCTACTTCTACCTCTCCGTGACTTGGTTCCTTTGGAACATCCAAAAACTTGACAAGTCTGCTTTTCCAGAATTGTCTCTCCGTCCTATCAGCATAGTCGATACAGCTTCTACCGCGAAGCTCTGGAGGAAGGTCTTTGAACTCCGAATTGTCAATCCTTATAACAATCAGACAGTTGTCCCGCTTGTTCAAGAGGCGGTACTTGGCAAGTTCAAGCTCGTAATCACAATATTTACTCCGCAAAAAGTTGCTCGAATAAACAGCAATGATCTTGTGGCTGAGGTAAACACTATCTGCCATACTCTTTGTGAAAGGAATCCCAGGGGTAAAGTCTCTGTAGTGAATGCAAACCCTCAAACCGTGTTCTCCTTCCAAGAATTTTAGAAGCTTTTCCTTTACCCATCTTTCATCTTCTTTGTTGTATATTATAAAAGCGTGAAATTTGAAATCTAAAGTCAAAATATAAACATAAAAGGTCGTCAGTTAAAGAGTTTTAAATATCATACACACACTTTCCAGGACTATTTAATAAATCCCTTCCTCAGCGAACGGATACAAGCAAATGGCAACGACAAACCAAGTAAACTTGCTTCGAGTTCACTTTGTTTTTATTATTTTGCCCCGTTTGAAGCAAAAAATAACCAAACTTGGACCGCGTTTTCGAGATCTTGCAAATTACTTAAAGTTTAAGAGTCGCTGGAACTATTAAGTTTAGTTCTTAAAAATAATATGCTTTAGTTTACTGCTAACAGAATCTGGTAAAAATTCTCAAAACTTTATATATTTTAACTGTTCGTCAAAATTGTTGATACACTGATCGTGTTTTAAGAAAAAGTAGTGCACCCAATTCTTGCAGAGCAACAGAGTTGTTTTATTAAGAATGCAATCAACATAAAATCACGCAAACTTCTCCCGTAAAAAAAGTTTTTTCATGATTTATGACCAATCGTGGTATATTTCAAAATACTCTCTACAAGTGTGTAGAACAATTTTAAGAACCTTGGAAACATTCCCCGAAATGTGCCATGAGTTTAAAAAAGTACTTATAAAGATGACAATAACTTAACATAGTGGTAGGAACCATTGAAAAAAGCAAAGTAATCAATGGACATTTCTTCTCCAAGCTCAAACCTGTTGGTAAAGGGATGCTTGTCTTACGACGACACAAATATTTCAGCAAGCAAACAGCAAAAATTATTCCAACGAGGCTTCCAACGGCGATTGACACATAAGTTACGATCAAATTCTCACCTGGAAATAGAAAAGAACATATCTGTCATACCTTTTTACCTAAGCTAGCAACAAGTGAGAAAAATAGATAAAGAGATCGAGCTTCCAAGCAATTTGAGCGTTGGGTGTTAGGGTCATTTAGCACTCAAGGGTGAGGAGTGACCAAAAAACACGCGGGGTTCAAAGAGGTTGGAAAAGACTATCATGATCAACGATTACCACCACCAACTTTAAACGATTGACCCATTTCACGCTAACGTCATCATGCATATTCTCCATACTGTTCTCTATTCATTATTTACTATAGACCACTTTCATAAATGGCTGCTGGATTAATATTCTTTTGTTTAAATTTAAATTAGCCCTACTGGCCTCGTTCTCCAGTACAAAATTCAAAAGAATACATTTTCTCAAGCGAGGTAAGAAGGGCTAATTTAAATTTAAACAAAAGAATATTTATACGGCAGCCATTTATGAAAGTGGTCTATAGAATCGCATCATTGAATAAAATCTCGCATTTTTATTGGTTAATGAAGCAAGGTGTTTAGCGTAGAATTGCGACTTGAAAACGAGGCTAAGTGTAGAATTGCGATTTGAAAACGAGGCTAAGTGATATTGTTTCACTTCTACGTCAACATAACAATTTTAAGTAATGCTGTTTCCTTTTTTACGCATTTTTATTCAGTTATGAGATTCAAGGAAAATCCATTATTTAACAATTATTCCACGAGCGCGCGTTGGATATGAGATGATAGATAGCCAACGAGGCGCGTAGCGCCGAGTTGGCTATAATCATCTCATATCCA